TATAATTCTGCTTTAGTCTTCATCTTCACCTCGACTTCGGCTCAGGTGCCGGGCTCTTAACTGCAACCTTCGGTGAGGAAGGCTCCTCTGGGATGACGGATGCCTGTGCAGAGGGTGATGGACCCGAGGATGTTAAAGTGGCCTGGATTTTCTCAGACTTATCCAGTTTGTCTGATTTATCCGATTTAGAGGATCGTTTGATGAGATTTAGAAATCCTCCTTTCTTTTTCTTCTCGCCATCTTGAGATTCTGAACTCTTCAGGGAACGCCTGAGAAAAGACGCGACGGACAAAGGGACACATGGGAGAAAGACTTAATAAGAGAGAAGTATTAGAAATGACAAGATGAAGCCCATTTTAACTTATGTATTCAGTGGATAAAAACATAAAGAGACAAGAGTACAGTCCTTACTTGGAATCCATCTTGGTGACTTTTTTAGAGAAGAACTCATCTACACCCTCATCCACCCTTCCCATGAGGCCGTTCTGTTCCCCATCTTGAGATGGAGTGCTGCTGATTTGCTGAAAGAAAAAAGATTTTCTGGACCATCTGACAAAAAGCAGATCAACTGCACTGGACTATATCTAAAGAGGTCTTGTAAGCTCACTAATGCCTTGAAGTAAACTTGAGAAACCCATCTTGACCACTCACTGGTACTTTGCTGGAATGTGTCTTTTTGTTCCTCCGAGGTCGGAGTTTGGTGAAGTGCTGGAGCTTTTTTTCTTCCTCAGATGGAAGCTCCACCATCACACCTGTGGGACATGGCTCCAGTTTGGGCTGCACCATAGATGGAGTGGATGGAGTGTGAGATGAAGTTGAAGTGTCCTCCATGTGGATCGGGACATCTTCTAGGGCTTTGTCCAGGTCAAACTCCATCTCTGTAGATTTGTAATTTTAAAGGATCAAATACAGAGAAATAAAAAATAAAACCCCATCAAGTCAACTTCTTATCAAAGTTATTACAGTTAAAACTACAAACTGAAAAACTCAAACTAGATATGAAAAAAGATTTTAACTATAATAAAAAAAATGAAAACTAGACTTTTATGAAACGTTAACAACATGAAATGATTTTGGGAACTTGGAAAATTGTCTTTAAAAAAAGGAACAAACAAAGAAAGTTAACATGACTTAGCTGATGAGGGTTTATTGGACATATTTGAAACTTTGCGTCTATTTTTCTAAATATTTTCCTAAATCTTGCCTCTGTCATGTGTCATCTATAACTAAACTAAACACTAAAACTAACACAAATTTAAGTAAAACTAAAGATTTTCAACCAATAAAAACTAAACAAGAAATAAAAATCACAAAAGGTCAACAAAAAAATTAACCCAACTACAAAACTAGAATTATTCTGCCTTGTATAGCCTAAAGCAGCAAGACGGTATGATAAACTCAGAAATATGAAGTACTAACCAAAGGCACGAGACACTGGTCGCAGCATCCTGCTGTGGATGCTCTTCCTTTTGGATTTCGGAGTCATCTGCAGGAGGAAAAGTTACACTTGTAGCAACTGTGAACTAAAATGAAAACGTTATTTTCTATAAGTGACGAGTGGATGAGTGCTGAAGATTTTAAAACCACGTAAGCAACAACTGTGTGCACGTACAAAAAGAGTGAACAAAAGAACAAACAGCATATCTGTCATAATGCGACACAACTGAGCCGTTAACAAAATGTTTTCCACATCTTATATTTCTAATTCCTTAACGTTGAAACTCAATAACAGATATTATAGCTTCCTGTGTTTAACCGTCAAGCTTATGAAGAGATAAAAATTTATATTGGGCAGAACTGAGTTCAGCTTATTGCTGCAGCCCTCCACAACAATCCCAGAGTCTTATGTGGCCCTTTAATAAATCTGTTGTCCACCTCTTCTCCGAAGTCTTGACTGCTGCTTTTATTTACTCGTATCTCAGTGCCACAAGATGATATCGGATCTCCAGTAGCCAAATGTATATTTAATTTCGAACATATTTTAAAGAAAATAACAATAATGTAGCTCAGTTTTCTTTAGACTTGGAGCTCATACTCTTAGTTAACAAACCAAAGTATCAACTGCTTAATCTGCCAAAATCTCTAGAATTTTAAAGGGCTTTGAAATGTTATCTTTATTATTTATCCTTAAACACAGTGGCAGGATGAGGGAAGCTCTACTGCTTCTTTTTAAGGAAACACTCTTCATACATCAAATTGTAAAAGAACCCAGTGAGGACTGTACAGCAGGCATGCACAGGGGAGAGTGAGGGACAAGGAAAAGAACAGTGAGAGCAAAGAAAAGTGGACAGAAACGAGAATCGAGCGAGGCAGTCCACTATTACTTACACTGGTGCAGCACAGAATCTCCATGGAGCGAAGGAGGAAAAGAGAAGAAGGAAAAGAGGAAAAGATTGAAGAGAAAGGGAGACAACACAGAGTAAGGCTTAACGAAGAACAAGCGAGGAAAATGAAAGAAAGCAGGGGAGGAAGGAGAGGGAGGCAGGGGAAAGATTTAGGAAGAAGAAGAAAAAAACGTGGAGATAACTATGGAACCAGAGGAAGACACAGAGGACAGGAGGACTTGCTGCTTTTTCCCCACAGCAGACTGCACCATCACTTTTCTGCCAGATGATTACAGTTATCATCTTTGTTTTGCCAACAGAAAAAACGGACACTGCTAAATATTTCACCTCTTAACTCGAGGCCTATAAAAGACTGTTTTCACTTGCTTCTGTTCCAGTTTGACTGGGAGTGTCAATGTAAAGATGACGAGAACTAATTTTTTAGGTAGAGGTTAAATTTAAGGCAGGTGTATTTGTGAGCTACAGCTAACTGTGAGCAAGAACCACTGCCTCCCTTTGCTTAGGTAGGTCAGCCGTTAATTCTAATTAAACACACACACCCTCACCTGTTGCCCACCATAACCTACCATACATGTTTCCAAATCCTCGAGCCTCTCAGCCTCCAGTATCTCGGCCGATGCCCTTTTTGGAATCTTTTCCTCCGGCACATCCAGGTCCACCGACTCCTGCTGCACCAAGGGGCGACCTCGGCGTACCAGATGATCCGCCTGAGACGACCGGTGACAAGAAAAACAATGAGATAGCGTGCAAGAGAGACAAAAGATGTAAAGAGAAGGAGGAAAGTTGTTGAAAGGCAAGCAAAGAGAAGGGGTGAAGAGTCAGGATGAGACCAGATCTATAGGGGAGAAAATACTAAATCATTTTAAATCAACATTTACTTTCCCCCCTCTAGCCATTGTTAATTACTGAATACAAAACAGTCGATTCTAATCTTACCAGCACGTGCTGTGACGTGGAAAGAGCCTCCAAAATCTCATCGACGATGCGATCGGACAGAAAGGACGCTAGACTCAGCTTCACCTCACTGCCACGGAGAGAGAAGGTGAGGGGAGCTGTAAGGTCACAACAGACTTAAATGCTTAAACTATGAAGCCTCCAAACACACCTGATCTTGTTGATGATATCTACCCCAGACTGCTCCAGGAGGGTTTTGCTAACAAAGCTTTTAGGTACAACCATCCGAGCTGAGCTGGCCTTCATCAGCTCTACTCGAAGATTACTCTTCTTCATCACATGAGGACACAGAGACTCTGCTGCATCCACCATGGTCTCCAATAGCGTCTAAAGAGACAGCAGGGAGGAAAAGGATGTAATGATGGATCTGATTAAATCACTAGATGACAGGCTGTCACACTGATCTCATGAGCCTACATTTAAAATGCAATTTTACAGACTTTACTAATATATGAACGTTAAGGCCCAACCTGCAGCTGTTGGTCCATGACAGCAGTCACCTCCCCGGCCATAGACTCCAGTTTCTCCTGAATTGGACCTACTGAAGTACTGTTCACCTCCTCTCTGGAAGCTGATCCGAGGTGGTAGAGGTTGGGAAGCAGCTAAAAACACGACAGGAAGGCACACAAGGATAAACATGGGCAGTTCAATATGGCTGATTCAATTTTTGCTCTAAATTTTGAAAAAGAAACATCTCGATATTACTGGAACAATATAAACTATCCACACTGTATTACTAAATTCATTATAGACGTCTAAATTCAAATGGAACATATAGAATATAATAAAACACTGACAGTAAGATAGAGTTTGCGTATGTGTGTCAATATATTAGTACAGGGCAGCCATGTTTCCTAATGCATGTGCACCGATCGGGCATAACCGCTGATGACGTGAAGTGGATAACACTCATTATCACTTTGTCTTGGCACCTGTTGGTGGGTGGGCTATATTAGTGTGAAGGTGGACTTTTTGTCCCTTTAAAGTTGATGTATTACGAACAGGAAAAATGGGCAAGCTTAAAGATTTGAGCAAGTTGGATGAGGGCCAAACTGTGATGGCTAGACGACTGCGTCAGAGCTCCTGTGGGCTATTCTCAGGCTGCAGTGGTCACTTATCATCAAAAGTGGTCCAAGGAGGGAACAGCAGTGGGCATCCAAGGCTCACTTATGCACAAACGTGCTCTTCACAGAAAAGGACGGATCGCGTGGTTTAAACCAACAGACTGTAGCTCAGATTGGGGACTCATTGAATGCAAAAGGGGGACCAGCACAATACTGGTCATAATGTTATGCCTGCTATGTGTCTATAGCTGACAAATACACCTTAAAATCTTTTATGACGCAGGATACTTGGTGAATTTGAAAATGTGGGTTTGTTTTGAAGACTTCTTTTGTACATTATTTAAGACAAACATACCCTAGATAATTTTTTGTCTTCCAGTAAGAAAAAAACTAACAAAAAAAGTAGAATTAATACAATGATTTAGAACAAATTTAGGAAGAACATTTAAATCTATTACATAAAAGAATATATATGATTCTGACAGGCTTCACTGTGGTCTGGACTTCTGCACACTGAAAGTAAGCATGGGCATTGCAGATTTACTGGTACAAACCATGACTTGTATATCCATCGATAATCCAGTGTTTACAGTACAAATAATGCTTCTCCTCTTGATGCTTTTGTGCTTTTTGAAACAGAAACACTTTTGGAAGCATCTTTGGCAGCCCACTTTTTGTCCCCTTTTCATTTTTTAACTGAATGGTCACAGCATGTAAAGATTAACTGAATGTTTTATTAATATTTTATCTCAAGCTTTTTGGTTTTAATGTCGAAAGCACTTTTATTAGAATATCTGATTCGAGTTTTTATCAAATCTGTTCTTAGAGACTTCAGTGTACAGTTACAGTGTTCAGCAAAAGTGCAGGTTTAGGATATTGAAGAAGGGCCAGTCTATCCTGGCTGATCTTAGCCTTCTCTTATCAAAGGACGTCCAGTTGCTTCCGTCTGGTTTCAGAAACTGTACGTGAAGGACAAATAGACTCAAGAACTCCTTTGTCCCAGCTGCCGTTGATCTTTTGAATATCTTCTTAATTGTAATTTTACATACTGTAGCGATTTTGTGTATCTACTGACTATTTACTGCTTGATGTTTGTGTGTTTTCTGCTGACTGTACAACAAATTGCCCCTTTGGTGATAATAAAGAATCCTTGACCCCCTTCAGCTGTCTCCTCACCGTTTTTGAATTCCTGGCATCTTTGATGAGGCTCTCCGCTGACCTGACATCCTCCAAGATGACGTCCGTCTCAGAGTTCCTCAGAGAGTTCAGGTGGTCCTGGACTTTAACACAAATCCTGTCAATCATCTGGAAAACAAAAACAACAAGCGATGACTGTTTTTGTGTGTCATACAACATGTAAAATGCTCAAAAGAGGAGTTTCCAGACTCAATTTAGTATAACTTGGGGCAAAGACACTCAGTGTTATATCACTACACCAACATATTTAATATTAAATAGTAACTCAAGTTCACAGCGGAAGAGTTTAAGTTTTTTGGGGTCGCAATAATCGCCGTCTCCATTCACTCACTCACCTGCTGTGTGGTTGTGGTTACGATGCCCTGCTGAAGCCGATAAGCCTGTTCCTGAAGATATTTTCTCGTTTCGTGGTTCCTGTACAAATACGTTTCAATCTATGGAGCAAAAACAAAGCTGATGTCATGACAGTACACTTAAAATAAAAGATTAAAATTAAAATCAGTGTCAGTTTATTCAGTATGTTTTTCTTCACTGATGCCATTGCATTCAGCATGTTTTAAAGACTAAAAGTCTCTAAAAGACGGGAACCAGAGGGAGTTCTTCATGTACCTTTAGTAAGGCATCCTCAGTTTTCTCAGGGCTCGCCTTTAGAGCCTGGGAGGCATCGATGATGGGGAGGGGCATGAAACGAATGGTGAAGTTCCTAATGGATAGTTTTTTTTTTAAAAAACAGACGAAAAACAAAATGAAGAAGAAGCAAAGTGATGTATTTAGAGACACATTGTGCATTGTAGCAGTGAAACATTATTGGATTAAACTGGTACTCCTGGGTAGGTCACTGATCTCTAAGTGAGAATCACACACATTATTTACATTCACATTAAGATTGGAGAGATGACGGGATAGACATGTAAGGCAGAAAAACAAAGACAAAAAAGCACATATACAGTACTACAATTCTACATTGTAGATACAAACTGAAGACAAGAAATATATAAATCAAGATATATGGAATTATGTAGCAAAGAAAAAAATAATAAATAACTCTAAATATGTCTTATATTTTAGATTCCTCAAAGTAGCCACCCTTTGCTTTGTTGACAGTGCTGCAAACCCTTGGCCTTCTCTAAGTGGTGCCAGGGTTCATGGCCTGGCCTCCACAGTCACCTGATTTAATCCCAATCGAGATGGTTTGGAGTGAGATGGACTGCAGTAAAGGCAAAAGGGCCAAAGAGTGCTCAGCATCTCTGGGAACTGCTTCTGGACCATTTCAGATGACGACCTCATGAAGCTCATCGAGAAAATGCCAAGTAGGGCTGTTCAATATAACGATATATATCGGATGACGATATAAAAACGTCTATCGTTTCATTTTACGCTATCGTTTGTTTCGTGGTGTCGCAAAATAAACTGTTTACGGCAATATTTTTTCACCGTTTTGATGGTCACTGTAGTGGCTATATTAATTTCTTAAAGTTCTCTCTTTCTCTTATATTTAATATAACCACACTAGGGACGGACAAGCGCCTGTTTTTATGGGTTGCCGTTAGCAACAACGACGGTAAAACCATGGCATGTCCGCTTGTTTATGTTCCACGTAAACCTTTCACAATAAAGCTCGAGATCCTGTTGAGACTTTGCAAAATAAACGGAATCACGTGAAAAAGTATTATTGATGGATGAGAAGCAAAAAAAGAGCCGTCAGGTGCTAAAAAATACACCTTAGACTCAAACGTTAGAACAGGCTTTTCCCCGCAGCACGCTGTGTAATAAATACTCACAAAGAAAACGGCAGGCGTTACAACTTATGTCTAAAAATGTATAGTTTCATGCATCAGTTAAAACACTCGACTCCACATACACGACGCCCAGCTGGAAACACTTCACCTACCCGAGATTCACAGAATTTACAGAAAATATTACATTTTTTTGTGATTTATATCGTTATCGGACGATAGATGTTTTATATCCGGATATGAGATTTTGGTCATATCGCACAGCCCTAATGCCAAGAGTGTACAAGGCAGTAAACAACGCAAAGGGTGGATATTTTGAAGAATCTAAAATATAACACATTTTGAGTTATTTCTCACTTTTTTGTTTACTACATAATTCTATATGTGTTAATTCATTGTTTTCATGACTTCAGTGAGAATCTACAATGTAAACAGTCATGAAAATAAAGGAAAACCATTGAATTAGAAAGTGTGGCTAAACTTTTGACTGGTAGTGTATAAACCTGTTGCGATATGAAGGTAAAGCAAAGGGATTAGAATAATTTTTAACCTCAAAGGCTGAATGAATGATTGTTATTCATTCAGATTGTTATGTGCTCTCCTTCCTCACGTCTTGACCAGAGAGATCTACTCTGAACAATTTCTATAAATCACTGAGACCCGTGGATAGCTTTTATATGCTGGGGATTGTGGGAGACTTTGAATACTCCATCTGTCTGTTATGTTGCAGTATTAATTATCTGGAGAAAAAAAACTTTAAAGAATGCATGGTACACAGGAGGAAAATGAAGAATTGAGCAAAGGAAACAAAGACACGCGATGCTGCACTGCTGAACCGAAAGGAGATCAGAAACAAGAAATTGTTTTTTCAATAATACAACACAGAGACTCAGAGGGGAAATGAAGATATGTGCTGCTGGGAGAATATGACAAAGAGAGAGGAGATGAAAAAGAGGAAAGAGG